TCAACATGAGATTAAAACTGAGCTAATAATAAAGATATATTAATTATATTAATTGAGCACAATGTTTCATTCAAGCACATAGGTATTGGCGTCAAGTGCAATAAAAAATTACCAATAAATTGAAAGTTGAGGTTTGATGGAATGTTTGCACCCTCATTCCATCATTGAAGATAAAACAAAGACTAAGTCGATTATATTAAAGTCGAAAAATTCTTTATTGGTATTCATCGATAATGTGAAGCAGCAGTAAAACGTCAGTCGTGGTTTGGTGAAGGATTTGAACCTCTAATCCACCATTAGAGACAAAAACGAGACAAAGTACCGATTAATCAATGTTAAATAATTCAATAAATTAAATTTGTATGCATCAATGAAGATAATGCGTCATACAACTGTCATGGCGGCCCATCGCAGATAACAGGGCAGCTTTAATGAACAGCTCTTTAACTTTATATGCAAAGTTCCGACTAAACTTTACGAATAAAACTTTATATTTTGGCACAGAACATGTCAAGCTGTGCTTGATATTGTATTTTTCCGACAACAATTTTTATTCTAAACATGAACAACAAAAGAATTCCGTACCTGGAGACCGAGAGCACGCGTGCACCTCCAATGAAAGCCCAGGACACACTGACCCTCGACTGTACGACGAGCCCTCACTTGCTTACCCCTCGCGGTAATCAGATAGAAGAAGAGGCAAACAATTTGGAGAGATGAAAAAGAGCAATAATCATAGGAGAAGAAAATTTCACGGGGAAGGGAGAAACCGTGATAATCGAGAGGCCCAGAGTAAATTTCAAGTAAAACAGAAACCGCGATAATCGTATGAGAAGATTCGAAAAAATTTTTAAGGAAAGGAGAAATATAATATAATAATCAGCGGAGATGAGGATGAACGGCGAAAAAGTTTTTGTAAAGGAAGAAATTACGAAAGTCAGACGAGAATAGGAAAAAAATTTTATATAGAAGTAAGAATAGGTAAATAAAAACCATATTATATGGGATTACATTTTTTTGTATATTAAAAATCAGTGATCATATTATCAGGGGTCACATTTTTGTATATTAAAAATCAGGGATCATTTTATTAGGGATCATCTTTTTTCTGTTTATTAAAAATCAGGGAACATATTATCAGGGATCATATTTTCTGTATATTAAAAATCAGGTATCACATTTTTTTGTACGTATATTATAAATCATGGATCATATTACCACGGATCATATTTTTTGTAAATTAAAAATCAGTGATCATATTATCAGGGATTGCATTTTTGTATATTAAAAATCAGGGATCATATTACGGGTATCACATTTTTTGTAAATTAAAAATCAGGGATCACATTATTTTATATTAAAAATATGGGATCGCATTTTTTGTATATTAAAAAACAGGGATCACATTTTTTTGTATATTATAAATCAGGGATCATATCATCAGGGATCATCTTTTTGTATAATAAAAATCAGGGATCATATTATGTAAATAGAGACAAACCCTCTACAAGTAGCACTCATACTCCCTTGTACCGGACCAAACTGCGCCGTGATAACCCACACAAATAATAAAATGAAGCGATATTTTGAACAATTTTTCCTCAATTTTTATGAGTATAATAGCGACCGTTATTTACAGCAGGAACGACCTGTGTAAAGCCATCAAACACACCTAAAGTTGTATAGTAATTTCTGATCCATTAATTTAATTCATGAATTTGAATTTTTGATTCTGCATTGAAAATTTGAGGGCAAATATCTATCGATTTTCTTCACGAGTCATAAGACCAAATAGCTACAGAAGATAGAGGAACATAATTGTCATTGCTCGTAAATAGTAAAATATTGAGCGCTCATAATAGAAATAATTTAATCAGAGTTTTGTCAAACCTTTCAATGACTTGCAAGCAAAATTTTTAATTTTGTTGCTAAAAAGCTGAGTTCACTTACCCTTTTTCCCGCTAAAGCTCATGTTTTCCCGACGAATGCGTTGAAAATACGCTAAATTTAGCTTTAAAATGGCTGAATTGGCAACATTGATTAAACAATGAACGGTAATTAGAATTGACTCTTGGAAAAATAGAGCTCTAGCTACGCGCCCTTTTTCCCTCAGTCAGTAATTCCATGTACGTCGACGTGAATATATGGTATATATAATTTAAAAATTCCTTTGCAAACATCAAAGGAAACCTACACTTTTTTGTTGCGATACTCTCATAAACATTTAGCTAATTAGGCGCAGTGTAGTTCTCACAATTAGAGAAACGTATCTTTAACTCAACTGCACATGGAGCTTTTTTATAAAGTAATATATTTACTTTCACTGCTTCCCACAATTGTTCTAAATGGATAAATATTTATTTAACAAATAAATATTCACTCTGAATGCATCATTGACATACTATAGACGAGTTTACGCACATTAAGCCAAAATATGGAATAATCAGATGGAGATGCCGTAAAGTATAATCAAGAGATCAACTTTAAATTTCTTGTGTTTTTCAGTTCCATATGAGGGACTTTCAACAGTGAAGTATAAATTATATTACAAAGGTATAATAAATTATAAAACATTTGTGAGCTTTATTGAGATGTACAGAAATAAAAATAGTCAGCAAACATGACAGCAATATAACGACATTCCGAAAATGCATAAGTAATAACGAATAACGGAATAAGTGATAAAAGATACTTTTGGGGGGATATACGTCAGTTATGGAAAGATCAGGTTCCAAAGGCCGGATCCCTTGTGGAATCAAGTCTCGAAAAGGACAAGTATCGGCAACAGGCCCTGGGCCTATGTCTTCAGCGCCGACGGTTCTATTCTATTCTATTTTAATATCATAGCGAAAGGCAATCTGCGAAAATGCATAAGCAATATCTAATAAGTAAGAAAGAAACTGTTCCGAGATTTACAATCACTAGCGAAGGGTAACTCCGAAGTTTGTCCATTCCTTCCGTGGCGATGCGCTAGTTGAACGAAATTCCTTCCATGAAAGAAGCGATGCGCTTGTTATGAATTGACCAACACTAATCAACAATATTTCCCGATATCGAATGGTGATTGCTTAGTATAGTTTAACTTGACATCCAATATCCAATATATGATATGAAAGTGAAAATAAGTAATATTGTAGGTTCGTAATAAACAAAAACTCGTAAAAAACAAAACTGTTAATAAGCATGTACGTAGGTAGGCGTGCCTAGACAACTAAATCAAATGTAAGTTGCAGCATCCGAAGCTTTGAAGTCTCGCTCAGAACAAGTAATGAACCAATTATCCTTCTCGGGTAAATTCGAGTCAAAAATTCTTGAACTCTTTTTGAGGGGATTTAATTCTAGATATAATTTGCAGAAACTGTTTGAGGCACGGCGGATATTGGAATTTATGGAATTTCGGAATGCATTTGTGTTCCATTGTGGTGATTACATTTTATCGAATATTAGATTTAATTCTAATGGCAAATTTCCACCCAATGCTTCAACACAAACCATTCTATTAATGGAATGCTATAGTCGCCAGCTACTGCCTAGTGACTCCCATAACCTAATTTCATCTACTTGGTATAAAGTATATGATGGCAACAAACTAAATATATGATGGAAACAAAAATCTAACAAGCCGAGCGAGTAGACTACAAAAAGCAAACTAATAGAAGTAAAAAACAAAATCCCCACAAAAACTGTAGAAAAGGAACTAGCACAAGCCGAGATTATGTATAGATATAGAGAGCGGTCACTCATCTACGACTAGCCTCATACCTACTTCCTTTCTACGTCTACCGACATTGCAACCTTAGAACTACAGAAATAAAATGCAAGTAGAAAAGTCGTTCTCGATTACATCCCCAAAATTGGCAGTTGGCATGGACAAAAATTACTTATTCCTCTCTTGCTGTGATTGCTATTCGGCGCTACCTGCAACAAATAAATGAATTAGAATTTAAATCTCAATTTGCAACTGCCGCCGAGTCTATCAAGACAACGCCATCTGGATTTAACAGGAATAATTTCTTTCGAAAATTATTTTCGAGCCAAACATCACCCTTAGGTCCTAATAAATACGTACACAAAGTTACATTGATCACCGTTTATTACTTTGGGAGATATTTCTTGGTCAAAGTAAAGAAAACGGGCCACAAAATCGGCCTCAGAAATGGCGGCTGTTTCCCTGTAAAGGCAAACGAAGGCAAAATCGAAAAGGGTGGTTGAGAATGTATTTATTCAAAATTTAGTACAAATCTGTTTAGTAGTTTAGAAGAAATGCCATGATCACTGCAAAATTCGGCCTGTTTCGCCGTAAAACTCACGAATGAAAGGGAAATGGGAAAATTTTCCTGATCTAAGCAACACAGCTAGGTCCTAATGAATACGTGTACCGAGTTTCATCGAGCTGCGTTCATTACTTTGGGAGATATTATTTGATCATTGAATTAGGACATATTCCATGCAGACCGGCCGCGAGTCCGGCCGTAACATTGTCCGAGACGTGCAAGTTAGATTACTAAAGCTACACACCACACAACCCTCTATGAAGCATTCAAATTTAACATACAGATATTGCAGGTGAAATGAAAATCTGATTGACTCAACTGCTATTTCGGCATGATGGTGTTGTCTCGCAGTGATTATCAACTCTAAGGAATTATACATCAGTGGTCATTATTGGTTTCACACGGTACTTGCTTAGATACAAGGTAGTCACTTCTTTAATATGAGCCAAATTTGTGATCGAATTTCTTTGAGAATACCAAGGCTGTTCCACATTTCTAAGCATCAATTTATTAAGAAGTCGTATTCTTTCGCGTTGAACTTAATTGGATTTTTAAAACTAAGATACGTTTTTTTTCAACCCCAGGCTATTTTAAGTCTTCTAGGACTGCGACCAACAGGATTGAGATTCGTTGACTAACAAACTGATAAATGCCCCAGAAATTTCACTTTATTGAGTCTGCAATTTTCAGTCCAAAACTGCAATTTGAGAACACTTCTAAAAACGTTCCTTCAATTTCAGTAGCTCTAAGAGGAAAATTGTCACTAAAATTTAAATATGGAGAAAATTAGTCGAACAACATTCATACACTGAATTTTTATTAAATATTTGTGTACACAAAGATTCAGAGTTTATAATAAAAAATATTTTTCTGGGTACGAGTAGCAGCGCAAGGAGTTAGCAGTCAAGCATACCCGACTCAAAATTCTGGATTAAGAATATTCATCTGATATGTCCAAACCTTTTTAACAATTGAAAAGGTGAAATCAATTCGTTGATTTAGGAGGAGTTATGCAGAGCTCGTTGTACTGCGAAGAAGTCCCGTATGGACACATGGTGCCTGCTGGCCCGATACTGTAAACGGGATGCGTGATTTGGTTCCCGGCAGGTCCGTAGTTGCATACGAAAAGTTGACATTTTTCTAGAAAGGCTGGAGCGTTGTTCACCAACTCCATGCATGGGCCGAACGTTACTTGTCCGCAACCGATTTCATACGTGGACGCCCATAACATCTGGATAGAAATGACTTGAGTAAGAATCTTGGAAGTTTGTACTCCGACTTATTTACGGATATTGTATGCACTCAGAAAGATCTTTTGCATACGGATATTGTATGCACTCTTCGATTCAAGTATCAACCTTTAAGATTGCTCACTAAGACCGGAGTCTTAACAGTTGTTTCAAGACAATATTGACCATTCATCACGCGGGATTTATGCCTTATATACAATGACAGTTTTTATTTTCTAGCGTCGTTATATATAATCGAGTACATGGCAGTTCGCGTCAAGCTCCGTTCCTTTTCCGAAAGAAAATAACAGCAAATAGCAGCGCCTACTGTGATCAGCTGAGGATGGACTATCAAAATTGTTCCGACTTATTAACTTTCAGCCACTCGCTGACGGCTTGCACGCAAAACCCACCTAAAAGAGACAGGCGTACACCCACCTGGGCTGCGTACACCCACCTGGGCTGCGTACACCCACCTGGGCTGCGTACACCCACCTGGGCTGCGTACACCCACCTGCGTGTAGTGCCCGATACTCTTGTTCTGAGAGACGGGCGCGTATGAACGGACTAGGCTTTCGTCGACGTAGACCACTTCGCTGTACCAGCTCTCAATAACAGCTTTCCATTCCTTAACCTGTAATATCAAATTAGAGATTATTTGTATTTTTTGTTGTATTGAAACTAAGTTGTCAGCCTTTAGGTGGAAACTATAAACGTATGTAAATTATTCACAAGATTATATCGTTTTCATAAACCGAACCATACTATCAAATGCTAATCCACGTTAAAAAATGTTCAAAATAAACGATTGTCGCTTCAAACATCTTATCTATCCGATGCATAATTCTGGCTTCAAATCTAGGATATTTATGAAAATGTTCATAATTCAATCAAATTTTGTACAACTTAATCAAGTCATGCCTTTCAAATTCCACCAATTATATTTTCTATTCCTTCAACATCGGCAATCCGATTACAATGGGCAAGTGTGATTCGCTAACAAACGCTACCTGAACCTGGAAAAGTCAACAGCAATTACTTAATGCACCATTTTAACCCTTTTTAGATTGCATAATTTCATGACGTTATAACCGTACTGAACTTACAGGTACAATTGTACCATTTGAATCCGACGAAAAATAAAAATGTTTGTGATCCAACAATTTATTCATCCACGATAATAATGTGCTTCTTGAAATGTGTTCAGACTTTTCCGTGGATAAAATCTATTGAAATAGCTGGTTTGGTTTGTCGATTTTCGTTATAGTTAAACAGAAAATTATATTAAAATGGTTAAAACAGATTAAAAATAGTTAAAAAAGATTGAAAATAGTTAATTAGATTAAAAATTAGATTAAAAATAGTTAAATAGATTAAAAATTTGATTAAAAATAATTAAATACCTGACTTAGATTATCGGTAGACCGACGTGTAGGAGCACCCGATAGCTGGTGTACGTTCTGACCCGTGAATGTGTAGGGTCTCGTGACAGGGGCACGACATTCATAACATTCACTGGACAGTTGGCACTGGAACGCCCAAGCCTGTGCAATATGAATTATTAATACCGAGGTAACGATACATAGATAATAGCTAATAACGATAGATAAGCATGCACTTTGCTGGTCAAATAGTGACCGTAAGTTAATCGGCGTAACAGAAGGAAGAGTTTTATTACTTAGACGCCTGACATACGAGCTTAAGTTATACTAACTTGAAAATGCTAAGTTTTCAATGATTCAAAACTGGCCATTTCTAAACCAGACACATGCGATACCAAAAAACTAAGAAAAGAGACGAAGTCCTAAGAATTGAAATAATTCTTTATTTTCGATCTCTTAAAGTAGATAATCGATGATTAACCTGAGCAATCCTGGCCAACTCGTCATTCCAGGACAACTGGAAGAGGTTAGCGGCCATGGGTTGTGGACCGTGTAGCCCTCTGGACTCAGCTCCTCGAGCGACCTTTTGAGAGGGAATGGGAATTATGCAAGTGTACTAATCTCAATTGTGATATTCAATGATAAAATTCAATTGAATACATAAAAATTATTCAATTAATCAAGTTGCGAAAATAAGAAATTGCTTTGGTGCGAACGTAGCTATGAATTGACATGGTAAAGTGTCCGCCCCGGCTGGAAAAGCTAGCTACTTCGTAATTACGACAATGATATGCTTATATGCACTTATTACTCGTATTATATGTCAATTGTGTGTGTCAAACGGCCACTCAAGCCTCCTAGGAGTCGCTCTGTATAAATAACCCAGCTTCGCAGTCCTCACCCCCGTGTCCCAGCTCTCACCCCAGTGTCCTAGCATTCACCCCAGTGTCCCAGCTCTCACCCCAGTGTCCCAGATGGTTGAGGGACCAACAGGTGAAGTCGTGGGTGTGGGACTAGCGGACGAAGTCGTGGGTGTGGGACCAACAGATGAAGTCGTGGTTGAGGGACCAGCAGATGAAGTCGTGGGTGTGGGACCCGCAGATGAAGTCGTGGTTGTGGGACCAACAGGTGAAGTCGTGGTTGTGGGACCAGCAGGTGAAGTCATGGTTGTGGGCCCACCAGGTGAAGTCGCGGGTGTGGGACCAGCAGATGAAATCGTGGTTGTGGGACCAACAGGTGAAGTCATGGTTGAGGGGCTTGGAGACGAGGTCGTGCTGATGGATGAAGCAGTGGTTGTAGGCGAAGTAGTACTCGTAGTAGCAGAGGTTGCTGAAGTCGTGGCGTTGGCTGCAGAAAATAAATATTTACAAGTCTCCAGCGTTCAAATTTTCAAATTGCGTTAACCGTCCATCAGCTATACATTATGTTACGCATTTCAAAATACAAAGACTTATTCTAGTACTTCGCTCGACTTCTACTAGTTTCTAGTTTCTTAGCCGGTTATATCAAAGTACTAAATTAACCCAACACTTTAGGCAAGACTCCCATTTTCAACATTTTTATCTGAAAGCTGGGCAACAAAAATAAAATCTGGATTGAAAACTCTCAAAGGATATCAAATCTTCATATACAGAAAGATTTAATATTTAGCGCTTGCATACCTCCGCAGAAACAAATTGATTTGACGAACAGTTCCATCTTGGGTCGGCCATCATCCATGTTGCATTGCAGAAGCGAGCATTTCGAAGGTAAATGCTCCACGTAATTATTTGCGAAGACAAATGAGTTATTGAAGTAGCATCCAAGCTTAAGATCGAGGTCCAACAGTTTCGTTAAGTTTACAAAGTTTTTGGAAACCAGTTTTTCAGGAGTACCAGTGACCTTTCTGACGGTAAGCACCGGGAAGGGTAGCCGAGGAGTGATGATAGAACACTTGCAGTTGTCAAGATCTTTTAGGTAAATGTGATTCGTTGAACCAATGTTCAAGATTCCTGGGATGACCCGGCATACCAACTTAGAGCAAGATTCTTGGTAAACTTCTATCGTCTGAAAAAAATGCAATCTTCCTTTAACTTCAGAAACTCGTGGACGATTTCGATGAAATCATATTTTGGTTAGGTCTTAGAAATTTCGTTGAATCAGGATTAAGAAAATACGTTAATTTGGCTGGTTTGCATGTCAAATTTTAGACCGCTCCTTTAAAAAGTATTACCCAAATATTTCGATTACAAAGCGAATTTCAAGTAATTTGAATACAGACAATTATTGAATAGCAGATGGTTCACTCCCCAGCCAATGTTCATCCACGCCGGTTCTCAGGCTCACCTGCCCATCTGAGTACAGGACGTCGTTGTAAATGCAGTTTCGGCCCCGACCCAGAAAAGCCTCGATCTTTTGCAGCTCAGATGAAGACGCAGTTCTAAGATCGGCTGAGAGAGGATGTTCAAATTAAAATGAAGAAAAGGTGTGCTCTAAATTTCGTTTTAATTACTTTTCTACTCCTCCAGTCAAGCATATCATGGCTTCAAGTTTCGCGTCAACCATTCAAATCCTCAACATCATGACCCTTAAGATGTGATCGTTATTATTCATTTACGCACATATGACGTCGCAAAATCTTACAGAATTTTTTGACTATATCTCGAAATTCAACGAATTGACATCACATATGGCATCGATCTGATTATTGCTCGAAAGGCTGAATCTAACGGCTAATATTAGGGGAAGCAAGTTCAAACGCACTCATTAACAGTATTACTAAAATTTCGATTCGACAAAGATTATAATAATTGTAAGTGGTCGTTGTCGACAATGCTATGCAGAAATTGAACCTAACCAAATCCACAAAACATCGAATTTATCCGAGTAACATCGAGTAGTAACCTAGAATATATTTTCTCTAAATTCATTCGTCTGACGAGAAAGTTATACAGCAAGAGGAAAGTGACACTTAGATTTCATGAAACATCGAACGCTTGACAAAAACGATGTTGAAGAAGAATTTTGACTTGCCTGGTGTAAGTGTGGCTGTGGCACCCACGGCGAACAATAATACTCCTGCAATCAACATTTCATCAACTTTCTGAGAAATAATATTAATCAAATTATTCAACGTTTGTCTTACAGGTTCTGAATTGTTGTGACATTCAGGATTCGTTTTTAATCTACTCTTAATCAAATAGCTTGCAATAAGTTTTTACATTGCTTTATCTGTGACCGAAATGTCGGTATTAGCCAATTTAATAATGCATGTGAAATTTCGGGATAGTGCATGAAGTTTCCGTAATTTTTGGGCGGATGCTTGTCCGTCTCCTGACTGTGATTGATTGTGATGTCATCCACTCCAGGCTGCGATTGGTTGTGGGATTGTGATGTCATCCTCTCCAGACTGTGAATGGTTGTTTGATGGCCACTACGGTATGCTTTGTGTACTGGTTAATTTATTACCCCTTTAGAATTCCACGCTTCTAGCATTCACATAGTGGACGCAGAAATCGACTTTCCTACAGCGAATACTAAACCAATTGGTCGCATCCAGACTGTAATATATACATGAGAAATTTTTCACATTATCAGACAAATCACATGATTGACACAGGAATTGACTTTCTTAGCTATTACTAAACCTATTAGTCCTGACCGACACCACTTCAACGTACGACCGCGACGATTCAATAATTTAATGCTGGGGTAGGCCTACGCTAATGCCATTAACTTTGCCACAGCACTTATGGCGTCGGCCTTCGAAAAAAGCGATCTATTTTTTTTTTACCAAAACTGAACCACAAAATTTTAGAGCAATCTAAAAGACTTTTACTTATTATGTGACGATTGAACCCTACAAATCTAAGTTCTGACATTATGATATTGTTTTTATTGAAGACTGGCTAGTTAATTGCAACATCTTCTGAAAGGCGACTTATGTTTAATTGACGGCAAACCACTTACACCACACGCACGACTGCCATACTAGTAATCTTTAACCACTGCCGGCGATGCGTGAACATTACGTAGGCATTGTGGGTGGAGCTGAAAGCAACTTCTTCTGTAAATTCGTTATCTACCTGTGTTTTTTTCTGTTGACACTTTCCAAATGAATATTTTCTTATGGATTTTGTAATAATAAATTTACAGATATTGTTCAGAGTTGCCAAAAAAACATAAATGATTACAAAAAATATTAATTTCAGGGTGATCTTCAACTGGATTATTCAGGTGATACTTTCTAATCAATATTTACTATCCACTATTATGCATTAAATATATCTCGATTTTTTGTTTGATATTTTTAGCGTCTCGTGTGTATGAGTCATATGTACCTGTGGATGACTTTATGTTATTTAATCATCACTTATTATCACATTGTCATGCGCATATTATCATTATTATCACATTTTTATCATTATCTTGAAACGATATTTAGCGCATGAACTGCTTCTTTATTTTTGCAACACTTCTCTTTAACTTCACTTCTTGTTGTTTGTTTGTCTGCTACGAATCTTATAATCGATATTTAATACACTTCTACCTCTCCAATCAATTTAAAATTTTGCACACTTGCATAAAGTTGGAGACAATGCATGAATCAATTGAGAGAGTAAATAATTTTAAAAATTTAAACTATTTTTTTTCAATACTAAGAAAAATTGAAAAAATAATTTTGTCTCCTACAAATCTTTTAATCGATATTTTACACACTTCTACCTATCCAATCAATCTGAAATTTTGCACACTTGCGTAAAGTCGGAGACAATGCACGAATCAATTGGCAAAATAAATAATTTTGAAATTATAAAATTTTTTACATATAAAAAATAACTTAAAATGGATTTTTTTAGTATTTGAAAATAAAATTAGAAATTTATTGTACATTTGTAACATCGGAGACACTGGATTCTTTAGAAGTGTTGTCTTTAAAATGTAATTTTAAAACGCATACTATGTTCGACTTACATCAAGAATTATTTCGCTTCAGGAATAGATGAAAGGCTTTTCAATAATGCCATCAAAACTAAATGCGGTTGGATTCAAGTACAGGAGAACAGGTTTTACGGCTGACTGAATATCTTCATTATCTCCATATAATAATAAAGATTTCTTGATCGAAGTTGAATAAAAAATTCAACAATTGCGTTGGAAAACATTTTAAGATAATAATTGAGCGAGATAAAATACTTTACAGCCACCCACACTAAACAAACGCGTCCGCAACATCCTCTGATTGATCATGCACTCAGAGAAATAAATGAGACTTCGTTCAAATAGAGATGCAGTTTTCACTCTTACGTGTGTCACTCTGATTCACTTTGGTCCAGCGTATCAATGCTACTGGGTCAGAGGGTCGTTTGAGTGATACGAATAAAAAGTGCGTCGCCAAATATTTCGATACAATTTTCTACTTATTTATCTCAGTGGTAAGTTCTAGGGAAAGGAGAGTGGCTCGAGCTTCACGATAATACGGATATCAAGCTCGAATGATCTCTAAATAATAATACATATTAACTGATTTATAATTGATGATAAACATGTATTAATAAGTTTCAACTTAGTAATCGAGGCACCATTTCAAACGTTATCAATCTTGTTCTATCTGTGATTGGTTTCGACAACTCCTGACACATGCACATAACTTTTCTGCTCCTGCCAAATAAAAACTATTTTTTTTGGTCAGAAAACTAGCAGCAATTAGTCATACATTCCAATTCACAACACTTCATATAATAAAAAATCCCATCTTTATTCTTGTTTTATATCAAAATTTAGTTATGGTTAATCAGGAAAATTAATTAATATTGTGTTCAATGATTGGATAGCTTGATGATTAACAAGATAATAACAGATATATTTTATTATAAATCGTATGACAGTTTATTTTACAATCCAAGCTCGTGTATACTAACAATCAAATAGTTGTTAGACATACTAGTAATAGCGGTTTCAGCGTTATTAGGCCGTAGGCCTGTCACCGATTCATAACATCGCAGAACATTCACAGCATTTTGCGGTCTCGAACTCGCAACTCACTGCTACAATTCTGCTGTGCTCAACCGCCCGGCCTCCTCGCCGATTCTGACCAGAAACTGGCGCACAGGGCTGGGATCGAACCCGCGCCTCTCTGCGCCAATCTTGGTACTCTGAACTTTAACCACTGGGCCACCCTGCAAGCAAGAGTTGTACTATCATTTATGCCATGGGTCGATAAACAAGCAGATAACAACTGATTTAGCTGTAAAAGGTCTGATTGATCAGTGTTCGAATGACGGATCTTTTGACCATTGGGAATATTTTAGAGACACTGAAAAATGCAGTTTCTCTGCAGTTCCTCAAGTATCTGCGCTGCTTTTAGAGTAACCCGCCTTGGTAACGACGTAAGTATGATCAAAATCTCTGCATTATTATGTAACATTTAATTTTGCGCCTCTCATTCATGTATCATTTAAACTTATTAAGTGTCTCCATGACTCATCAAGTACCACGATCGGATACTACAAAATTGCTTCGCAAAAATCCACGGATTTTACGCCTAACATTCAAGTATCTCGTCCGATCAGACGGAGACAACGGTTCGCCGCTAACCTGATGGATCGGTCACTGCACTAAGCTCCACTGCTGTAAATTATTAATGGTTAACTTCGGTCAACTCGGCTTGTGAACGTCATAAGTCAAAGAATAAATAATTAATCGATGCCACTGAACTTCATAACAGCAGCATGCAGTAATATGAATTAGTACCATACCGTAATATTTAGTAGATAAGTAGCATACCGTAACATTTGGGGAGGTAAGTAACCTACCGCAACTAATTAGTTACCTAAGTAAGCAGCATACCGTAACATTTGGATAAGTAAGTAGAATACCGTAACATTTGGGTAGGTAAGAAACACACTGTAATGTGATATTGTGTAAGTAAAATGACGTAAATATGTTCGAATTGATAAAGCAAAATTAAAGGCGGTAGAAGCTTAGAGTTATTATTTTCGATATTATTTCATTCCATGTCCACCAGCCACACGTTTCATTACTTCACAATGCTGTTAGAATGTCAATTTGAATCAATATCAATTGCCTGCCCTTTGATATATACGCACCTTTTAGCATCATGCCTCTGGCAACGCTGTCTCCTAACTCCCGATGCCCAGGAATTTTCTTCCTGGTCGTTTTCTGAACAAAATTGACATAAATACGAGTTAAATTTGAATTTTTTGGCCTCTTCTGCATGATAAAAGTTAACAATCTTATTCAATTGGAACTGCAAATTAAAAACATCAATACAGTTAAATATCGATCATTGCATCACAAAAAGGCGTACTTTTTTACCATGAAACGCTAACGTTCTTTGCAATAAAAAATATTATAATATACTATTTTAGAAATAATGGAACATGGAAGATCAAATTAAGATTAATTAACCAAAAGAGGTAGCCTTTATAATGAAACCGCAAATGAATTTTTCTTGAGCTTCGTGCATTTTGAAGCTGCGCTATGGCCAGGCGTCTCAGTGCTGTCTCAGCTGTGGTGGTGTGAGGGACCTGCGTCTAGGTTCTCCATATTTTATTGCCGCCCTAAAGGGTCTTTGTTTAGTTGCTTTTTAATTCATACAGTTCAAAGTATTTTAAGTTTTGGTAGTCAACAGTTTTAACAGGCATTGTACATAATAAAAGAACATGAATACAAAGTTTTCTGGAATATTGTAGTGTTGAGAAAATGGAAGTCTAACAGAGGCCGCTTGTGGGCATTCGGGGCACGGCACTTGCTGAATATTTTGCCTGCATTTTGTGTAGAATATATTAGTTTATTTTTGCCACATTAATATTAGTTTCTATCACTATTTTTTCGGTATATTTCTAATAAATTATGTTAACTTTTGACAGTATAGTGAATTTCAAGCTGAAACTTTTGTTTCCGTATTGTCGTTTCTCACATTTTTTATTCATTTTTCTCTTGCTCTACCCATTAGGGTAAAAATCTGTTTCTAAGTATTTTCAATATTCTTATTCGTTTTTATTTTCACCTTTGTTATATTGCTATAGCTCATAAGCCGTAGTTTTTAATTTTGTTTGTACGCTTCTATTTCCATACTTATTTTTACATCGAAATTTACCTTTAGCTTACGAAAAAACATGTGATTGTGAAATAT